CCCAAGGAGGAAGTGAGCACCTCCTGCCAACACGCAAGATGTGAAGCGAAAATAGAGACACTGCATCCCGCAGGATCGGCGCAAACAGCTCCAAAGGAACAGACGATGCATGCGCTGCTGAGACCAAGGAACCAGACCCAGGAATGGCCCCAAGCACCTCCACATCCTCTGCAAGCCAATCCGAGGACAGCTCAAGGAGGGCAAAAAGAACCGCAAGACCGAAGCCAACAGACCACGAGCACGCAAGTCCTCAGTAACCCGTGCAGCCAAAAGGGAGGGAACCTGCACATGAAGCTGTACCACGCCAACATCCTGAGGAAGGGCAGAGGTGAACAAGCACGCAGTGAGGTGCCCAAACTTGCCCCCGAGGAAAACCTAGATCACCGTAAGCGCCTCACGCCACATGAGCGTGCAGATACGATAGAAAGTACACCAAGCATCCAAAGACAACACAGGGCAGGCCACTAGCCAGGACGACTCCGGAACCTCATAAGGAACCCAGTAGGGAGATGAAGACCTAAACATGAATAATGACGGATTCATAATAGAGGCACAATCCAGATCGCGCAGGAGGTAAGCCACAGTGGCTTCCCGCACCTCTTGGGGCGGGATGCGGGAAGGCAAAAACCTCCAGAACAGAACCAACGAACCCAAAGGGAAACGGAACCAAACCTGGGGAGGGCCGACACAAAATCCAGTACGTACGGGGGAGGGGGGGGGCAAGAAAACCCCAGTCCTTGCAACAGTAAACCCCGCTTGATGGATAGAAAAACCCAGGCAGGGGTTCAACGGTGCCCAAAGCCCCCAAATCAGCCCCTCTCCAACCCCAGGAACCTCCACACTAGGACGCAGGGCCGAGTCTTCCTTCAAAGCCCCGGCCCCAAAAGAAAAGGCCGGGGCAGCCAGAAAGGAAGGAAGGAAGGGAGGGGGGCCCACTAGTCAGACCCCAACGCCATGGAACTGGAAGAACCGTCTCGAATACCTCCATCGCCACCCCGGAAGGGGCATCCCCCAAGACCGCCTGAGTCTTAAAACCAGCTAAACCCCGCCCCGACCCCGAGGCCCTCAGACGCTTTGAAGCCGGAAGCTGGAGGGGGACCAGAATGCACCACGGCAGGGAAAAAACGAGGGGGTGTGGACTGAACCAAAGCCGAAGCGACCCACACCGTCAAGTCCGGGTCCCTAAAACCAACATAGAGCAGCCTCGGGGCTTCCGGGTCAGCAATCAACCTTGCGCGTTGCAGCAACCTAAACCTAGCATGCAACAGCTGAACTGCCTGCACCTGTATAGTCATCAGTGGACTGGGTGAACGGAGTCACTAACAAACAACAAAACTCGCAAAACTCCAGGTCGAGGGTGTCACCGACCCAACGGGCAGCATGACGGAGGCAAGAACAGTGAGAGTCGCCCTGAGACAAAGGGGACAGAGCAACCCTCAAACTCGCAGAAGGCGAGAGGGTACCCAGGGGTTGCATCCATCAGACCCCTTGTGCCCCCGCAGGGTTTCCCAAGTCTACCAAACAAACTTCTAAAAGCTGAACCCCCGGGATGTGTCCACTCATGGGAACCTAGGTACCAACAAGACAATGGTAACAACCTAACATAAGGGGCTGACACCCCCCCCCCCCTACCAGGCAGGAAAACAAAAACAAAAGAAAAGCCCGCAAGAGGACAACATGCCCAGACAGAACAGAGCCGGCCACTATGAGAGGTGATAACTAGTTGTGTAGTACCTCATGCCCCTACCAGTGCAAACTATCCCTTCCCAAAGGCAAACAAGGGTGTAGAAAACACCTCAGCACACAAAGGGCGATCGATCACTGAACAGCAAATGACCAAGCAGAAGTAGATTCCAAGGTGACATGTGGAAGGTGGCCTTAAGCCCCAAGGGCAGTACTTACAGGGTACCTAGGGAAGGTGACCCCTAGATGCATGCAGCCCGAGTACTTGGGAGATTACTCCTGGTTCACCCACCACCAGAGAAGATGCGCCCCACACCACAAGGCACAGAGCAAAGGACAGAAGACAGGAGCCAGAGCCACAACGACAAATGCCATTCATCAGCCGAAGAACTGCAGGGGTGCATCGAAGATGCGAGGGTCTGAGGTTCACACCTTCTGATGCCAACAGGGAAAAAAAGAGCCTTAGAAAAACAATCTTGAACTGAAAGAGCCACAACAAACCAAGGAGAAGAGAGAAAAGAGAGCACCCCGTCCAAAGACCAGGACAGCTCAGGAGGTGCATGAACAGGCCGGAGGTGAAACAGTGCATGAGACAGCTTGCGGAACGGGGCAGAAGTAACTTCAATACTGAACTCAAGCTGGAGCGGCTCTGACAGCACCACACGATACAAGGCGACAGTATTTGGCATAAGATGACGGTCCTGGAACAACCACGAAAGGAAAGACAAGACAACCCTATCAGAGACGTGTAGGTACACCTATGCGATGATAGGAAAAATGGGAAGGACCGCCAGGAAACATCATACTGCCACCGAGATGAAGTACGCTGGTGGGAGACAAACAACGAAGCCACTTGCGCCCCACAAGTGATGATAGACTCGAGTCAGAAACTCCAGATGTGAAGACCGTCCCTGGCCGGCCTGGAGAGCACTGGTCACAAAGCCCCAGCCAAGAGACGACGCATCCATGAACACATCAAGTGAGAGCTCGGGTAGGCGCCAAGGCACTGAAACCCCCAAAACCCGAAGAGGAAGCTGGCGACGCAGCAACCGACACAAAGCCCCCGGAGGCCAAATCCAACGGTCGCGAGAGAGGCGGAAGGGACATCCCCAAAGGAACCAGAACAGCCGATGAAGCCACACCCGACTCGGCGGGTGGACCATCATGGCAAAGTTCAGGCTCCTGCGCAAACCCTCTAGCAACCATCGGTAGCTAGAGGGGTTTCTTGAGAGGCTACCGTGACCCGGTAGCCCCTCAGGAACAGACGAAGGCGGAAATACAGGTAAAGCAGTCGCCGGAGGAAGAAACAAGGAAGCGGTCCGAGCATCCCACACAAGACCCAGTCAAGACCGAACCTGAGAGGGAACCAGATGTGACTTCCGCCAGTTCACCAGGAACCCGAACCCAGCGAGCTGGGAAAGAACCAAATCACTGGCAAACAAACATGCGAACTGGCTGGGAGTCCAAACCAGCCAGTTGTCGAGGTAGACCAGGACCCCAACACCTAACAGAAGCAGGCGGGTCACCACGACCCGAGTAAGGTGCGAGAAAACGCGAGGCGCCAGATTCAAGCCGAATAGAAGGCAACGAAAGCGGTAAGCTTGACACTCCACAACAAAACCGAGCCAGTCCCTGAGCCTTAGATGAATCGGGACGTACCAATAAGCGTCCCCGCATCCTTAAGGTCCAGGGACACCATCCAAGCGCCCGGCTCCAACATAAGACGGACCAGTGACAGTAATCATCTGAAAGGAGGGGCAATAAACCCACGGGTTCAAACAGGACAAGTCCAGAATGAACTGGAGGTCTGCACAGTTCCGTTTCAGGACCGGAAAGAGGCAAGAAACCCACCTGAGAGAAGGTCGTTTTGACCACACTCAAACGAACCCATTCTGAAATGACTTGACAGAGTGCAGGAGAAGAGGTCTACAGTGCCAGCCCCGAACCCCCCAAAGGAGGGGAAGCCACCCAACGCCACTGCAGGCCGCATAAAACAACCCAAAAGGCCTACCAATTGTGGGACCAGGCATGAGCGAACAGCACGAGCCTGCCCTCATTGCCCCATCAACGGGGCAAATCGCAAAAACAGTCACCACCGGCCTACTACAATGAGAGAAAAACCATTAGCCCTGGCATGACACACCAAGGAGAATCCCTCTGGGCCCTGCCGGAGAACCAACACGTCCGACATCGGGCAGCAACAAGAAGAGGCTACCCACAGGTACTGCCCGACCGCAGAAGCTGCAAACAGCAAGGGACAAAAAGGTGATGAAACAAAGAGCCAGGGTCCAAGCAGATCCCAAGGAGGAAGTGAGCACCTCCTGCCAACACGCAAGATGTGAAGCGAAAATAGAGACACTGTATCCCGCAGGATCGGCGCAAACAGCTCCAAAGGAACAGACGATGCATGCGCTGCTGAGACCAAGGAACCAGACCCAGGAATGGCCCCAAGCACCTCCACATCCTCTGCAAGCCAATCCGAGGACAGCTCAAGGAGGGCAAAAAGAACCGCAAGACCGAAGCCAACAGACCACGAGCACGCAAGTCCTCAGTAACCCGTGCAGCCAAAAGGGAGGGAACCTGCACATGAAGCTGTACCACGCCAACATCCTGAGGAAGGGCAGAGGTGAACAAGCACGCAGTGAGGTGCCCAAACTTGCCCCCGAGGAAAACCTAGATCACCGTAAGCGCCTCACGCCACATGAGCGTGCAGATACGATAGAAAGTACACCAAGCATCCAAAGACAACACAGGGCAGGCCACTAGCCAGGACGACTCCGGAACCTCATAAGGAACCCAGTAGGGAGATGAAGACCTAAACATGAATAATGACGGATTCATAATAGAGGCACAATCCAGATCGCGCAGGAGGTAAGCCACAGTGGCTTCCCGCACCTCTTGGGGCGGGATGCGGGAAGGCAAAAACCTCCAGAACAGAACCCTCACACGGGGCCACACACCCTCTCTCCCCCTGCGCAGACAAGTGGCGTGGTAATGTCTTACTCATTTGCTCATTTTTATTTGGGGAGTTCTGTTCACTCGTTTGACTTTCAGTAGTAGTTTCAACCAGAATAGGGGTTTGTTTTGGGATGTTTATCTTTTTGGGTGCCTGACCTGGTCGATGGCAGACATAGAATGCTCCATAACCACATGTACATTTCTATAGGCCATTGCTCCTCGTGCTTCTCTGAGAGGACCAGGTTCTGGCTCGTGGTCCCTGGTAGGCCTAGAACTCCATTCACATTGACTGACGCCAAAGTTTAATATATCCAAGAATCATGTAACTCTGTAGAATCATGTAAGGGAACAATACTTACTTCTGCTTGTCCTCCAAAGTAAGTGGAACCACATCAGGCTTTGGATGAGAACTTGGCACTAAATTATGAGGCTTTGGGCTGGTCCCGGACTCTCTTTTCATGAACGAGTTTAGCCCCAGCTCAGAAAACATATCTGTTGTTGCATCAACTGCCGAGACCACCGATCCATTGCTTGTGCTATTGCTTCCTGATATACTTGTTGGCATTGCCATCTGAAGTGCACTGTAAAAGAATTCAGTATTGTTTAATTAACACTTTCGCGCTCTCCGCAAAGGTCACTCAGCCAACCGAATGTGCGCGCTGCGTTTTTATCGCTTAAGCGTAAAAACAAAAATGTGTATACTCTTTTTACTCTTCTGACCTTAGTTCTCATGCTACGTATTTCATTTTGGTACCAACGTGTTCGCAATAAAATTCTCTAGAAGAACATTAGTAAAATAAGTCACGAAACATATAGGGATACCAGCACCAAATAAATAACTACGTAGATGACTCGCCGTGAGCGCCCATCAGCAACAAAATGTTTTTACTCTTGGGATTGTAATCACCTCCACACTTGTTCTACAGCGTTAAGTTTGGTATCAATGGACTCGCAATGAAATTCCCAACACGGTGATATGAATATAAGCGTAGAATAATGATGCAGCCCGCCCGCAAGAGTGTGGGAAGTGGTGAAATTGTTACCCGGTATCAGTGACAGGACGACGCACGGCGCTTTGAAAGTTTATACTTATTTCACTCTCATGACATTAATTTTCTATGTACGTCATTCATTTTTATGTCAATGTGTTCGCAATAGAATGTTCTATGTGCCCATAGGTAAAAAATATCAACAAAGCGTAACTTAGAATAGCAACAAATATAAAACAACGCTGGAACATATCAGTGAGCGTCAAACACACACGAAATATTTTTACTTTTGTTATGTTTGTCAAGATTATACTTGTTGCACACAGTTATTTTTGGTTGTATATTGATCGGAATAAAATTCCCTAAACAGACATATGCATATAATACATGATATGGGGGAAGAATTACCAGTATAAACGGCTAAAGTCACCCACCTGCAACCCGTTTGGGACAAAATACCATTTGATCGAAGTTATCCACACCTTTCATGAACTTATTGTACCATGCAGCCTAGTGGTGAGAAAGAGAGCCTCATAGCGCGCAGTTTGAAACAAACCCAAAGTAAATCGGATAAAAATTGAATTTTATACAAATATTTTAAAAGTAGACATAACTTTATGTCCACTATGCGTTTACGTTAGACGAAACCGAACGCGCCGGCGCGTCCAGATAGTGCGAAAGTGTTTTAAAGTGTTCAGGAGTCAAATTGTCTATATTTATGATATAAGTAAAATTAGTGAAATTGTCACTAAATAATACTTGATTACAACATACTGTACTGTATGTACAATTTCCAAAACATTTTGATGAAGGTTATTTACCCAGTGGGTAAACCAGCACGGCAAAGTTCAGACTCCTGCACAACTGCTCGAGCAACCGCCGAGTGACCCAGGACCTCCTCCCCTCTGCCAAGGTTGTGAGGCAGAGGAAGAGAGATTTTATTGTTTGGCAGGGAAGTCGCTGTGGTAATGGTAACTTTGTCAGTTGTATTTTTCAAGAAAACTTTGCACTTTTTGCACCCCACATTTTGCACACCTTTCTTTTATTAGAGAACTAGATTAACCCCTGCAGTACGCACCTGTTTTTGGCAAAAATTTCATGGTGCAGTTATTAAGGATATATTTTTGTTGTTTTTATAAATGTTCAGCTAATATTAATGTCAAAATGTTTCCAAACTCAATCATTTTCATTTCAAATCACAAAGAGCAATGAAAACATTAAAAAAACTTAAAATATAAACTAATTAAATAAAACAACCCCCCCAACTCTCAGAGCGCCTTTAACCCTTAGACCGCGCAATACATATATAGATATTGAGAGTAAGTTTACCGAAACTGTGCAATACATATACAGTATAGACGATTGAGGCTCTAGAGCACGATTATAAATGCCCCGCGAGGGATAGGGGCAGCTATAGTCCAGCCACGACCAATAGTTAACAGACGCCACCTAGAAAAATATCGTGGGCAACATTCCCGGGTGTGCGAGCCTCAGTACTGAGTGAGCCACCAAAGCTGGTGCACACAGCATGAGCTCACAGCACCGCTGTTCAGCTTGTGACCACAGCATCACCTGAAAATGTTAAAATATATATGTATATGCTATTATTTAGAGATGATAGTATTACAGAAGACTCCTGACTGTGATAAAACTGACCAGGATTCTGATAATAAGAGGATTGTGGTAATATTTAGAGCTGTACTCCATGGTGGGAGGAGTAATGCTGAGGGATGGAGGGAGGTGGCGTCGTCTTCTGTCTGTGCATGGCCTATGTCTGTGTATTGGCTATGTCAATAGGCTGTTCTACCTCTGCGCTCTTACTTCATTACACACACAAATCACAATAGCGTGATACATCAAATGAAATATGTGATTTAATGAAGTACATGGAGGAATTGCATAAAACCCTGGTTTGAGTCACGGAGAGACTGCAGGATCCGTTGGTAAATCAGGATGATTTCCCCGATTACAATTCTTTTTGACCATGTCATAGCTCAGTCGATTAAGGCAGCGTCTGGGATCCTCTCTGACGTAGGTTCGAACCCTCGTCACGGTCCTTGTGGATTTGTTCATTTGATGCATCACGCTATTGTGATTTCTGTGTGTAATGAAGTAAGGGCGCAGAGGTAGAACAGTCTATTGACATACCTCAGGTGTATGGGAGAATTGCGTAAAACCCTGGTTTCTCTCTCGGAGAGACTGCAGGATCCGTTGGTAAAATAGGATGATTTCCCGGTTGCAATTCTTTTGACCATGTCGTAGCTCAGTCGATTAAGGCAGCGTCTAGGATCCTCTCGGATGTAGGTTCGAACCCTCGTCACGGCCCTTGTGGATTTGTTCATCTTATGTTTAGTATGTTTAGGGATTTAAACAGGGAGAGCTGTGTGTTGTCTGAAAGCAGAGTTTGTTATTGTCCTGATAGCAGATTTTTGCTGGGTGATGATAATCTTGAGGTAGTTTGCAGTGGTTGAACCCCATGCACAGATACCATAAGTAAGATAGGGATAGATAAGTACGTAATAGAGTGAGAGGAGAGCAGAGTAGGGTACATAATATCTGAACTTAGAGATCAGCTGTTTTAGAAACTTTTTTAGTAATGTGTTGAATGTGGGTGCTGAAGTTGAGTCTCTTATCTAAGTATAGGTTATCTTGAGATGATTTCGGGGCTTTAGTGTCCCCGCGGCCCAGTCCTCGACCAGGCCTCCACCCCAGGAAGCAGCCCGTGACAGCTGACTAACACCCAGGTACCTATTTTACTGCTAGGTAACAGGGGCATAGGGTGAAAGAAACTCTGCCCATTGTTTCTCGCTGGTGCCCGGGATCGAACCCGGGACCACAGGATCACAAGTCCAGCGTACTGTCTGCTCGGCCAACCGGCTCCCTAGGAACTTTCCATCATTTATTATATAAATATATCACAATACACACTATTGAATAATATTACTGCAAAAAAAAACAAAGAAAAAATCAATCAGAGACATTGAAATAATTAGGTAATAATATCTTTGTAGCAACTCCCGCCTGACAGCTGGGGCGGAGCAGACCTTGTCTGGCGCCTGCTCTGTCAACGCCTCTTTTTTGCCAGACTTACCCGCCCTATTGCGGCCAAAATATGCCACCTACATTTTTCTTTTCCCCGTGATCAGGGATCATAAATGAACACTTTTATAAGACGAAACAATTTTTGGGATTTTTTTTGTTGTTGTACCTGTGGGTGTTGAAGGCCAAAAGGGCCTTAGCGGCCTAAGGGTTAAGGTGCTTGGGGCAGTGCAGTGGTTAAAGCATACCAAACTCGGTAGCAAGTGCCGGTCATGTGGACACCACTTTCGTATTTTAACTATGAGTACTTTTTTCATCTCAATCATGGTTCTAACTAATTTTCTTTTTTGCTTGGTTCTTATCACTAACTTACTTAGGCTTTCTCTTAGGCCATAGTGATTTATTTACACTGAGAATATAAACAAATATCCAAGAAAACATGAGAAATTTAGAGAAATCTACTGGTGCTGTGCACTGAACGACAGCTACTGGGAAACTGATTCGTCTGGGATGCATGTTTACATTTGAGTGCTGAGCAAACAGCAGACTGCTGAACATGAACACAGTGTTCGATGGCTGCAATGTTCAAGTAGACGGCTGTTCGAGTACTGAGGTTCCACTGTATATTATTGGCATGGGGATTGCCAGGGGTTATCTTGAGGTTATCTTGAGATGATTTCGGGGCTTTTTAGTGTCCCCGCGGCCCGGTCCTCGACCAGGCCTCCACCCCCAGGAAGCAGCCAGTGACAGCTTACTAACTCCCAGGTACTTATTTACTGCGAGGTAACAGGGGCATTCAGGGTGAAAGAAACTTGTGCCCATTTGTTTCTGCCTCGTGCGGGAATCGAACCCGCACCACAGAATTACGAGTCCTGCGCGCTATCCACCAGGCTACGAGGCCCACTTGGGGTCTGACAGATTGAATAAATACCCTATTGAATGAATTAGCTCTGCTCCATATAGTTAAGACTGAGCTCACATTGTATTAGTGTTTCCAAAATCCCTTTAAAGAAAATCTCAAATTATCAGCTGGTGACTGCAAATGAGTATGTGTACTCTTTCTTCTGATAACTTGCATCAGAGTACAAAGTTGTATGTGACAGGGAATTTATTGTGTAAAATAATTTTAATGGTCAATATATTTTCCACATAAAATCAAACTTGTACCGTACATTCAACTATTGGGCATAGATAGATATCTTATCATTAAATAATGGAGCACTATCCATGTGACCAAAAAATAAAAAGTGAAAAGCAGCCAGGCTACTATGCAAAATATCTCTTGTATTTTGTACCCGATTCTCTTCCTTTTGACAACTTCACCTCTCTTAGTAACATTTGCATGCACCATCAAGGAATCCCTGTTAAAGAGAATTTTTGTCAATTTACAGTACTGTACTTACTTCTGTTCAACCTTTATAGAGTTCAACTGTTCCAGCTTTATTCTGTGTTCTGCTTCAACTATATCTGTCATTTCCTGAAAATAAATAATTTTTAGTCAAATTTAAAATTAAAAGCCCACCAAAAATTATCTATTGATAGTTGCCTACTATGCTGTATATTCAATACCAGCTAATTAGCAAATATATTATATCTTCACTTGCTCTTAACCCTATCATTAAAACTGCCACCATGACTGAGTCAAAAACATCCAGTTTAGACTGTAATGAAATGCCAATTTCTGGAGCCCGTGTGGCTCCCTGAAGCTATTGTCCTTATATTGCTTCATACTAAATGGTCACATCAGCTGTGGATAGTTCTGTTTACCAACTTGGCACCAGAGCCAGAACCTGGCCCATTCATAGACGTGGGAGAGAACAGGTGACACACTGCTACCTCACTGGTAGAAACCTCAAGAATGTTAGTGCTGCTCTACAGACAATTGAAAGGTTCACAGAAAGCCAAGCCTCAAAAACTGTCAAACAACTACTGCAAGCGAGTTGCACGGAGTAGGGGATTCACTCAAATGAGCTCGAAACTCATAAGTACCAATTAACACCACCAGGGGCCAGATTCACGAAGGCACTTACGCAAGCACTTACGAACCTGTACATCTTTTCTCAATCTTTGGCGGCTTTGTTTCCAATTATTAAAGTTAATGAGCTCCGAAGCACCAGGAGGATGTTTATAACAATAACAACAGTTGAATGGGAAGTTTTCATGCTTGTAAACTGTTTAATAAATGTAACCAAAGCCGTCAAAGATTGAGGAAAGATTTACACGTTCGTAAGTGCTTGCGTAAGTGCTTTCGTGAATCTGGCCCCTGGTGGCCAGGTCCCAGCTCTCAGCCAACTCCCCATGTCAGTTCAGGACCTGATGAACAAACCCACGACAAACTGACGAACCCGGATTTGTCAAGGAGCCACTGGGGCTCCTCCAGAAATTGGAATTTCTTTATATTCAACACCGGGTTTCTGGAGGAAGCCCCCCTGCAGCTCCCTACCTGTTGTATACCTCTCAATGATTGAGCATCAACATTCCAGTAGCCATCTTTGACCAGGACTTGTGGTTGGTGGTCTGAGATAGACAGGACTAGAAAGACAGACAATTGCAAATACTGTACTATGCAAAGGGCATTTGCAGACAAAGGTATTCTGAAAAGAGAAAGGGATTAGAATGCAGCTATCCTCATCCCAGAAAATGTCTAAAAAATACTTAGGAAGGAAAAATTTTGTTTTGGTGGTAGCAAAATTTATTAGCTAAATTAGTAAAGTGTTTATAGTGCCACCACTCTATGCACCTTTCTGAGGGAGTCAGGTTCTGGTTTGCGGTCCCCAGTAGACCAATAAGAACTCTGCAACTGATGTCACCTAGTGGTATGGCACTGAATCAGTGTAACAGCTTCAGGGAGCCTTCGAGTCTCACCCAGAAATTGACGTTTCATTACATTCAATGCTGATTTTTTTGAGTGCTCTATTTTTTGGCAATATAAAATCTGAATGCTGAATATAAATAAAAAAACCAGCGTTGAATGTAATGAAAAGCCATTTTCTGGGTGAGCCCCAGAGGCTCCCTGGAGCTTATCGGACTAATGTATGTTATATTAGACCGGGACATTAGCTAAGGAGTTCAGACTTACCAGGGACCAGCGCCAGAACCTGGCCCTTTCAGAGAGGTTTCAGAGAGCAATGGCCCTGGAAAACCCCCCTTGTGGTTAGGGTTTTTCTTATCTGCCATCGACCAGGGTTAGGCACCCAGAAAGGTAGGCATAACAAAACAAACCCCACATGGTAAAAACTAAAACAGAAAACAGAACAGAGGTAGAAACTCCCTACAATCCCAAGGAAGCAAGCAAACAAGCAAACATCACACTTTACTGCCGCGCCGATCTTCCGTGCAGAGCTCCCTGCCCCGAGAGGGGGAGGGGGGGGGCCCCAGACCTCACCTCGCCGGCTGCCTAGCACCAGTTCAGAAGCTAAGCTTCAACCAATGCCGACCGATGGGAGGGAGGGTTGCCAGGGAGCCTCCGGGGCAGACCCAGAAAATGGTGTTTCATTACATTCAATGCTGGTTTTCTGTGGGGAGCCCCACGGCTCCCTGGAGCTTCATACCCAAAGAGAAGGAAAAGAAAGGGCTGACCCAGGAGGCGGCCGCTACAAACTCTGCAACGCGAAGCCGAGACAACAGGCTGCAACCTGCGACCCAAGGCAACATAAGAACACACAGGAGCAGACCCGTGCACAAGGAATGGGCGGCCAGGACCCTGTGTGGTCCCCAAATCCTCATGCCCGAAATGAGCCATAGACGTACGTCACCAACACGGCAGCGAAAGCTGCAAATGTCCAAACGGCACAGGCGCAAGGATAGACTGCAGGCTGGTAGACTTAAGAGAACTGCGAATGACCTGGGAGACCCAAGCCCTGAAACAGGGAACGAGGGGAACTGGATCAACCCAGAGCGCATCCCCAGTCACGGTACGCAGGTAACGGCAAAGAGCCGCAACCGGACAACACATGACACACCCCCGGTCGAACCAACCAAGCATCAATAACCCAAGGACCCCTCCGGAAAGCAGCCGTCTCGACCGTCGCCAGAAGGACGGAGAAAGGCCGCAAACATACAAACCTACCACCAGTATCAAAAGAGCAGAAACCCCTGCACCGGAAGAGAGTTGGAAGCTCCCCGACCCGACCAGCAGCAGTCCATGCCAACAAAATATGGCCCATGAAAAACAATCTTGAACCGAAGGAGCTACCACAAACTGAGGAGAAGAAGATAAGAGGCCATCCTGATCAAGGACCAGAACGGTTCTGGTAACGCATGAGCAGGCCGGAGGTGAAACAAAACACGAGAAAGCGTACGGAACGGGGCGGATATGACATCCACCCCGAACGCAAGCTGGAGCAGCTCCACCAGCGTTGCACGAAATGAGGCAACAGTATGAAGCATCAAATAACAGTCCTGAAAACCCAAAAAAGGAAAAGACAATCCAATGCGAAAGACAACCTACGAAGAGCAAGAAAATGGCGAATAGAAACACCAGGAACGTCATACTGCCGCTGAGACGAAGCTCGCAGGTGGGACACCATCAACGAAGCCACCTGATCACCATAGAGATGGTGATACACCCTCATCAAAATACCAGACGCGAAGAGCTGAGGAGAAGGCCGAACCAGTCACGTACAGGATGGGTCCGACTGGCCGAAAGAGGCGGAACTGCGGGACAACGCCCCGGGTTCGGACAGCTATCAAACAGCGAATGAAAATAAAGCTGGACCAGCCACCAAGGGACCACGAGGACTACTCTCCTTGGGAATGGACTCCAACTGAGCCAGAACCTGAAGCAACAGCTGGACCGGGAGAAGAGGAACAGGTACCCCCCCCACTTCGACCAGTCCTGCTGAAAGGCATCCACGGTGAACGCCTCGCAGGCGGGTAAGGGCGTCACATAGAATGGGAAACGCCGAGACCACGCCGACACGAAGATGTCCATGACCATGAGTCCATACGTCTGGCAGAGCCAACGAAACGAGTCGGCGACGACCGGCCAATCGGCGAACAGAGGAATGAACCGAGACAGGCTGTCCGCCAGGACGCAGGACACAACCCGGACATGAAACTCACGGCTAGCCAAACCCGGAGAATCTGCAAACAAGCCACTCCAAGGGACCAACCCCAAAGGTTAAAGACCTAAGAGAAACCCTGTGGTTCCGGCAATGAACCACCGAAGAACAGTCTGAATGGAGCTGGATGGTAGAGTATCGAGTGACCCGAACCCTCCGAAGCGCAAACCAGACAGCCACGAACTCCTGAAGCGTGCTGTGAGCCCGATGGACGGACAGACCCCACCATCTCCGGATAACCTGGTGAGCACTGGTCACAAAGCCCCAGCCGAGAGATGACCCATCCGTGAACACATCGAGCGAAGGCTCGGGAGGTGCCAAGGCACGGAACCCCAAAAACCTCAAAGACTCAAAGAGGAAGCTGGGGACGCAGCACCAACACAAGATTCCCGGAGGATGAACCCAACGATTGCAAGAAAGGCGGAAGGGGAGTCCACGAAGGAACCATATAGACGCTGAAGCCAAACCTGACCCTGCGGGCAGACCAGCACGTCGAAGTTCAGACTCCCGCACAACCACTCAAGCAACCGCCGAGCAACCCGGACCCCTTCATAAACAGCCGAGGGCGGGACCACAGCCGCAGCAACACTTCTGGAGGGAAAGACAAGGAGTGGCCCAAGAGCCCTAAACAAGGCCCAGCCAGGTCCGAACCCAGGACAGAAACAGATGGAATGGCCACCAGATCACTGCGCCGAACCTGGCGATCTGGAAAAAACCACACCCCTGGCGAGCAGACAAGCGAACCGACTGGGAGCCCACACCAGCCAGTCGTCGAGGTAGGCCAGACACCGAATCCCGAGCAGACGCAGACAGGGCACTAAGATCCGGTAAACATGCGTAAATACACCAAGTGCCAATTGCAAACTAGGGAAGGCAACAAAAGCGGCAAGCCTGAAGCCCTACCACCAACTGGGCAGTCCCAGAACCCTAGAGAGGAACATGCCAAGAAGTGACCGGGAGGTCCAAGACCACCATCCAGACACCCGGCCCCAACAGAAGCAGGACCGGAGACAACAGTCCTCCGAAGAGGGCAAAGAATCCAGGGCGCAGACTGGATTCTTTAGCAGAATAAGAATTCTTCGCAGAATAAGTCCAGAAGAACCTCAGATCCGCAAGGCCCGTGTCTGCATAGAGCAGATGGGAACCCCGGAAGGATGGTTCGGATCGACCACGTCCAAACACACCCACCAAGATGACATGACGAAGCGCAGTGGAAGAAGCTCACCCCACCAGCCCCGAACCCCCCAAAAGGGGGAGAAGATGTCCACCGCCACCAGAGCCCGGAAGACAACCAAAAACGCCCACTAACTGCGGGACCAAGCAAGAGTCAACAGAGCAAGCTGCTCCTCCAGCGCCCCGTCAACAGCAAAGGGAACGGAGCCCCTTCCGAAAGAAAAAGTATATATATACAGTATATATAAATACACACGCATAAGGTGTATTACACACACGTGCGCATGTATATGCGCATACACACGTGTATACAAACACACATGCACATGTATATATGTGTACAGAGCGTTATATGACAAAGAGTGCTGGGAAGACGGGACACTGCGAGCGTAGCTCTCATCCTGTAACTACACTTAGGTAACTACACACACACATATATACACATGAATAGAAAATAAAATTAAATAAAGAAAAGAAAAAAACAAGCCGCCAACCAGTGGGCAGAGAGCACCACTCTGGCCAGGCGAAGAAGGCATAAAGCACAAAACTGCATCAAAAGGCCCACCTCGACAACAAAACCCAAGGCCCCGGCACGACCACAACACGTGCTAAGACCCAAAAAGATCAGCCTGCAAGCCAGGAAGACCCCAGAACCCCAAAAGGCAGAACTGGGTCACACACGAGGAAACAAAGCTCCCTGACGAAACCAAAGCACCCAAAGGAACCCGGAATCGAACTTGGGGGAATCCAAACTACTACATTTGCCAGCGGAAATACATCACAGAAAGGCACAGCACAGCCCCCAGACAGAACCTAAACGGTCAAAACAGAACGAAAACCGAGGGACAAGGTGTGGGAGCAAGCATAAACAGACAGGGACACTGAGCCCAAACCCTAGGGCCCAGACCCAAAACAGACAGAAAACGGAAAAACCGGTGTAAAAACCAACACCCGAGCGTTCCCAGAGGAACAAAAGACGGGCAGAAAACACCAGAAAAGCAAAGAAACGGCAACCAGATAATAAAACTCCTGAAAGAGGTGAAAAACTTACCCAAGACGCTAGCTTGCACACCCATGCGCGTGTAAACAGACCACAGAGCCGCCCTCATGGCCACGCCGGGAAACCTGCAGAAGAAAATGGCCACCAGAAACAGGGGGCCAAGACCGATGCAATAGATACGAAAACACGCCAGAAAATGTGGGAAGCAAGTAAAAAACCCAGGCAGGGGCAAACAGCCCCAGAACTGCTAGCAGGCATCCCCCACAGCCCTGGGAACCCGCAATAGAGGCCCCGGGGCAGAGCCATCCTTCACGCCCTCTGCCCTTAAAGAAAAGGAAGAGTCCAGGGGAAAGACAGCAAGAAAGGGCCGCTGGTAAGACCCAAAAGCCTTGGCAGGAGGAACAGGCTCGAAAACCTCTGTCCCCAACCTGAACGGGGCAGCCCCTAAAGCCGGCCAAGTCTCGGCGCCAACTAATCCCCGCCCCGACCCCGAAACCCGCAGACGGTCAGGAGCCGGGAAAAGGGTGAACAGCACCTAACCAAAACGGGGCGGCCCCAGAGCATCCGGGAGGAAAACCAACCCAGCGCGTTGCAGCAACCTAAACCAAGCTTGCAATGTGGATGCTGCCTGTACTCTGAACAGTAATAACATCAGGAGAGTACTGGAGAACAAGCAGAGAACACAACTCACAAGACTCCGAGTCAAGGTGTCAGTGACTCAACAGGCAGCATGACAGAGGTAAAAGTGGCGACTGTCACCCGGAGACAAGGGCACAGCAACCAACAAACCCGCACAAGACGGGTTGGAACCCGGAAGACACACTCAATGGTCCACCGAGCCCCGACAGGGTTTTCCAGGGCCCGTAGGGTAACAACTACGGGAAGCCCGGGCAAGGTGTTGCTAACCGGTTAAAACCCAAAACTAACAAGGGGTAGAGGACAACACTGAAAACCCCTGCGACGTGTACAATCACGGGGGCCTAGCAGAGGGCCACCAAACACTGCCAGTGGAAGTATAGCCACACTAGGCAGACCCCCACCAGGCAAATGAAAATAAAAACAAAAGAAAATCCCTGCAAAAGTACACTGTCTCCAGAGGCAACAGGTACCGGTTGCCACGAAGATGGCAGATCGCGCAACACCTTGACACCCTAACCAGCACAATACCAGTCCCTACCCAGGGCCAAATAAGGTCCCCAAGCCCCAGCTGGCCCCAAGGGTTATTTTGAGGTTATCTTGAGATGATTTCGGGGCTTTTTAGTGTCCCCGCGGCCCGGTCCTCGACCAGGCCTCCACCTCCAGGAAGCAGCCCGTGACAGCTGACTAACACCCAGGTACCTATTTTACTGCTAGGTAACAGGGGCATAGGGTGAAAGAAACTCTGCCCAATGTTTCTCGCCGGCGCCTGGGATCGAACCCAGGACCACAGGATCACAAGTCTAGCGTGCTGTCCACTCGGCCGACCGGCTCCCAGGGTGAGGGAGCCGGTGCATTTGCCTCACAGGGTGAGGCAAATGCCGAGCAGCAAGAACCTCTTCTGGAATGGTTCGCGAATGCCCCAGGGAAGATAACCCTATCACGCAGGGGCAGTACTCATAGGGCACTTAGGAAAGGAAGCCCCTAAGCGCATGCAGCCCCGGTACTGATGAGGAACACCTGGCCACCGCACAATACAACACACGACAGTGAACGCCACGAAGGCAAACACCACCTAGGAAACTGAGGCCAGAGAAGCGTCTGTCCTGGTTGACATTAGCTTATGAACTGGTGGTAGGCAGCCGGCACAGTGAGGAATGGGGGGCCCCCCCCTCCCCCTCTTGGGGCGGGGAAGGCTGCACAGACAATCGGTGCGGCAGTGAAGTGTGATGTTTGCTTGTTTCCTTGGGATTATAGGGAGTTTCTACCTCTCTGTTCGGTTTTCTGTTTTAGTTTTTTACCATGTGGGGTTTGTTTTGTTATGCCTACCTTTCTGGGTGCCTCGATGGCAGATAAGGAAAACCCCAACCACAAGGGGGTTTTTCAGGGCCCATTGCTCCCTGAAAGCTCTCAGAAGGGGCCAGGTTCTGGCACTGGTCCCTGCTAGGTCTGAACTCCTTAGCTAATGTCCCGGTCTAATATAACATACATTAGCCCCATAAGCTCCAGGGAGCCGTAGGGGCTCCCCACAGAAATGGTGTCTAAATATCTCAAACTAAATTTTTGGAGAAGTATATCATCCAAACCTTGATAAGTGTCATTATTGCTGAATGCTGAGAAGGGGTGAGAGAGTTCTCAATGCTGAGAGGAAACAGGAATGGAAGAACCTTCGTTGCTAATACTTCTTTAGTGATGCCTAACTTCTTATGATTCAGAGCAACTTTGAAGATACCTATAAAATGAATAATTTAGGTTACTTAACAGACATGTGGATACTGTACTTTATGGTTAGCATAAATATACAGGTATATTTAAGTACACATTTTGTTCACATATTGATACTTATATTACTAAAAAAAAATCTTAAAAGGAATCCATATTTTGCCCGATACTTTTCTATCCTATACTTATTTGAATATAACCCATGTTAAATTTACCTCAACATTCAACAGTAAATACCTTTTATTAAAAAATTCAATCAAAGATTTAATGTAATGAAACACCCTTTTCTGGTGGACACCTCAGTAGCTTCCAGAAATAAGCACTGGTCCAGACAAATTATAGGAAGATGAACCAGGTCTGAGACAAACCCCGGACTGCCACAAGCCAGGAGCAGAATCTGGCTCTATGCGGTGAGATTTTGGGGGATAACAAAGCAACCCAAAACTGAGAAAATCTCACCAGCAAACGGAAGTACAACAAAACAAGCAACTGCTTGAAGAAAATTAGGTACCAGCAGGTGCCGCCAATCCAGGTCACCCGGTGTGCCAATCAGCCTTCTTCCTCACTCATGAACCACTTGAACTGATCCCCATCCTCCCCCACTCCCCCCCCCCCCAAGGGAAAAAGGGAATATGGTAATAATAGGGAGCTACTGAGAGCTCTTTGAGAAACCCAGAGCTGAATGTAATAAAATGCCTCTTGAATTGAGCCCTCAGTAGCTTTCAAGTGATACAACCTGGAACAGTCTAAGCCCTGGGGAAGACACTAGGCCTCTTCTGACTCACGATCACCTACCTAAGACCAGGACAAGAATCTGGCTCCTTTACAGAAATCACCACAGAACTCAGGGCTTAAACCAACAGAAAAATACAATTTTCCCAAACAATACCTGCTTAGAAGCATTTGTAAATTCATTCTACCAATGTAAACACTCATTATAGGAGCTGCCACGTAAGGGTTTAGAGGCTTTTCTCCCCCACCAGAAAGAGGCTTTTCATTACATTCACAGCTTGATTTTTGGTAGGGCCCCATAAGAAGGTTCCTGACACTACATCTCCATGAAGCCTCATCAAAGGCTGTTGAATTTGAAAAGAACACAAAGTATAAACGACGACAACAAAGAGGTATGAAGTAATAGAGAACACAGAAGCCTAGTGTCAGGCTAGATGCCATAACACTATACAAAGCGTGTTGCAGCTGAGGCACATACTGTGTACGAAAACACCAAAGTGGCTGGGAAAACGTCAAAATCTCTGAACAAAGACACACAATGGCAAACAAGCCAACAATTGTACAAAACGTATTGTACGCGTATTGGAAGGAGTTTTATTGTACGAACATTAGCACCTATGAAAAGAAATTACGTCACTTACGTCCATGATATTAAGGGATGACAGTTCTAGAAAGATTGGAAAGTTTTTATGTGAACAGTATGTCAAACAAGGAAGAGTATAAATAGGAAAGAGTCACATGACGAAATATGAAAAATAAAACAAAATATGAAATATGAAAATCTAAAACAGTAAAATTATGAACATAAATGTTTTACATGCAGGAATTTACATTGCAGAAATTGTTGTGTTGAATAGAACTCCAAAGTAAAAACTCACCAACAATAGCCATGACTACCGGTGATTCCCGTGATGGTATTTGCTCTAGAAATGGAAAAATATCATCCATAACCAGCCACTTGTCAAGGTGTTCCAGTATCTTGCCCACACAAACCAGACAATTGACTCTAACCTGAAAAGGTTTCAAATATTGAAGCATTTGATGGTTATCTTGAGATGATTTCGGGGCTTTAGTGTCCCCGCGGCCCGGTCCTCGACCAGGCCTCCACCCCCGGAAGCAGCCTGTGACAGCTGACTAACACCCAGGTACCTATTTACTGCTAGGTAACAGAGGCATAGGGGTGAAAGAAACTCTGCCCATTGTTTCTCGCCGGCGCCCGGGATCGAACCCGGGACCACAGGATCACAAGTCCAGCGTGCTGTCAGCTCGGCCGACCGGCTTGATCAAGACATGGGTCTCCACAGTCAAACAAATTCTGACACAAAGATACTTTACCAACACTGTATAATAATAATAATAATAATAATAATAATAATAATAATAATAATAATAATAATAATAATAATAATAATTCACTATGTCAGGGGACAGGAAGCCAGTGTGTATTCATACACATTTGGCTTTTATCGATGCCCTCCTCCCCAAGGCCGAATTACTGACCCTGCCCAGGATGCAACCCCACAATACACTGACTAACTCCTGAGTACCTTCTCACTACTAGGTGAACAGAGGCATTAGGTAAAAGGAAATATGCCCAACCATTTCTGTCCCACCCAGGATTCGAACCTGAAATTCTTGATTGTGCGTCAAGACCAAACCCAACTGCACAACTGGGACCCGTAAATAATAATAATAATTGTTATAATTTACCAGGAAGAAAAACTAATGCGAGCGGCACATGGCATTTATTACAACAACAACAAACAATGACGTCACCAGGTACAGGTTACTTGACTTACTATTTACAATGCTTATAAAACAAAAGAGCATCTACTCGAAACATTATGCACCTAACCTATGTAGTACTTAATCCTATAAAATGCCTTAGTCCCTTAATCCTACAAAATACCTTATTGGTAATAATAATAATAATAATAATAATAATAATAATATATAAATAATAATTCATTGAGTTAGGATGTCAGACAGCCAGTGTATATATACATGTTAGGCTTATATCGAGATACCCCAAGGTTGAACTATTGACCCTCCCCAGGATGCAATAACTCCTGGGTACCAATTTACTTCTAGGTGAACAGGGAATTAGATGATAGGAAATGCACCCAACCACTTCTGTTCTGCCCTGGATTCAAACTCGGAATTCAAGATTTTGAGTTGAGATTGAGCACGACTGCACTATTGGGACCCTTGAACCTTATGTAATATCTTCACCAGTTAAATTAGAAACAATAAACAGTTGAACAAATGCTAAGAGTATATAATAGCAATGTGTAATATAAATTGAAAGCTGAAAATTTAGTTGAAAGATAAAACTTACTTGAATGCACTTTTTATCTGAAAGGAGTCCCTTTTGGATCCTGGAAGAAATCTTCCCGAGATTGCTTCATATTAAAAGGTCACATCAATTGCAGATACAGTACAGTAGTCCTATTTTGGCATACCAGGGCCCAGAGCCAGAACCTGGCCCCACTCATGAGAGACACAGGAAGCAGGTGACGATCTGCCACTTCACCAGACAAAATCCAGCATTGAATGTAATGAAACGCCATTTTCTGGGTGAGTCCTGGAGGCTCCCTGGAGCTATCCAGGCTAATATGGATACCCTAACTATTTTGCATCAGTCAATGTGGGGTAAAGTTCTAGGCCTCCCGGGGACCACAAGCCAGAACCTGGCCCCCCTCACAGAGGCACGAAAAGCAATGGCCCATAGATATGCACATGTGATTTGGAGCATTCTATATCTGTCATCGACTGAGACAGGTATCCAGAAAGGTAAGCGCCACAAAACAAACCCCTATTCTGGTTAAAACAACGAAAAACGCCAACAAGTGGACAGAACTCCCCAAAAGAAAAACGAGCAAACAAGCATGACGTCACCCGAGACGCGCTGCATGTCTGCGCAGCTCTCCCGTCCCCGGGAGGGAGAAGGGGGAGCCCCAGACCCCTGCACCGGCGATCCACCTCTCAGTTCTGAGGCTGGATATCAAAAACGCGAAAAACCGCTGACCGAAGGGAGGGAGGGATGCCGGGAAGCCTCCAGGACTCACCCAGAAAATTGCAGAAGTTTCTCTCACCCAGAAGTTTCATTACATTCAATGCTGGCTTTCTGGGGGATGCCTCTTCGGTTCCCCGGAGCTACTTCACCAGAGACAGAAAGTAAAAAGGGACTTACCCGGGAGGCGGTCGGTACTCCACACCTCAACTCGAAGTCGAGATAACGGGCTGCAACCGCCGACCCAAAGCAACACAGGCCTGACAAGGCCCAGGGACGTTCATGAGTTAGCGTGCAGCCAGGACCCTGTTCGACCGCCAAAACCCCTGCGCCCGAATGTCAGCCCAAGACATGTTGCCAAAGATGGCAGCAAGAGCAGCAAATTTACGAATATCATGGGCACGGGGATAGACCGCAGGCTGGCTAGACTTAATCACCTTGTGGACGACCTGAGAGAGGACAACGATAAAGAGTCAATAAGAAATAGAAGGACCGCCAGGAAACCTCATACTGCCGCCGAGAAGAAGCCCGCAGATGGGACACCATCAAGGAAGCCACCTGATCACAATAGAGATGGTGATAAACATGAGTCAAAAACACCAAACGTGAAGACTCGAGGAGAACAGCAAACCAGTCTCGTACCGGACCGGGCCTATCTGCTGAAAGAGGCGGAGCCACGGAAAATCCTCCAGATTCGGACACTGAGCAAGCAGCGCCTGAAATCACGGCTGGGTTGGCCACCATGGGGCCAAGAGGATTACTCGCCCCTGGTAAGTCTCCAAGCGAGCCAGAACCTGCAGCAATAACTGAACCGGGGGGAAGAGGTACAGAAGGTACAGAAGTCGGGGAAGGGTGCCACATATACCGGAAGATGCCTCGACCACGCCGACACGAAGAGGTCCACCTCTAGGCGCCCGAACGTCTGGCAGAGCCAACGGAAGGAGTCGGCATCGACCATCCATTCTGTGGACAGGGGAACGAAACAGGACAGGCCATCTGCCAGGACGTTGGACACACCCCCGGACATGAACTGCCAGGAGAGCCAAACCCCAAGAATTCAGCAAACGAGTCACCCGAAGCGACCAGTCCCAAAGAGCCAAGGACCGCATCAAACTCCCTCGGTTCAGGCAATGAACCACCAGGGAACAGTCCGAATGGAGCCGGATCGTCAATCCGCGGGTAACCCAATCCCTCCGAAACGCAAACCACACTGCCGCGAACTCCCTCGCAGTGCTGTGGGCCCAACGGAAGGATGGACCCCAATGCCCCTAGCCGGCCTGGTGAGCACTGGTCACAAAGCCCCAGCCTAGAGACGATGCGTCTGTGAACACATCGAGCGAGGATTCAGGCAGGCGCCAAGGCACCAAACCCTGAAAAATCCGAAAAGGAAGCCAGCGACACAGCAGCCGACGCAAGGCCCCCGAGAGTCAAACCCAGCAATCGCGATAGAGGCGGAAGGGACATCCCCAAAGGAACTAGAACAGCCAACGAAGTCAAACCCGCCCCGGCAGGTAGACCAACATCGTAAGGTTCAGGCTCCCGCACAGACCCTCGACCAACCGCCGGGTGACCTGGGAGCCCCCTAGAAACAAGAACAGGCGGGACCGCAGCCGAAGAAGACACGCCAAAGGAAGAGACAAGGAATAGGTCTGAGAATCCTACACAAGACACAGCCAGGACCGAACCTGGGAAGGAACCAAATGGGACTTCCTCCAGTTCACCAGGAACCTGAACCCGGCGAGCAGACACGCAGACCAACAGGGAGCCCAAACTAGCCTGTCGTCGAGGTAAGCCAACACCGGAACACCAAACAAATGCAGACGGGCCACCACGACCCTGGTCAGGCGTGTAAACACATGAGGGGCCAGATTCAACTCAAATGGGAGACAACGAAAGCGGTAATACTGACGCCCCCACAACAAAACCGAGCCAGTCCTTGAACCCCAGGTGAATAGGGACATGTCAATACGTGTCCTTGAGGTTCAGGGACACCATCCAAGTGCCCAGCTCTAACAGAAGCCGGACCTGGGACAGAGTGGTCATCCGAAACAAGGGCAAGAAACCCAAGGATTCAGACAGGACAAGTCCAGAATGAACCGCAGGTCCACAGAGTCCCGTTTCGGGACTGGAAACAGGTGGGAAACCCACCCGAGAGACGTCGTCATTTCGCCACACCCAAGCGCACCCACCAATTCTTAAGATCACCTGACAAGAGCGCAGGAGAGGAAACCTGCCCTGCTAGCCCCGAACGCCCTGAAGGAGGAGAGCCACCCAACGCAACCGCAGGCCGCGAGAAATGGCCCGAAAAGCCCACAAATCGTGAGACCCGGCGTAAACGAACAAAGCAAGTCTCCCCTCCACCGCCCCGTCAATGGGGCGAACCACAAAAGGGCCACTGCCCCTTACGAGAACCCGACCTGCGCACAGAGTGAACACCGCGCCGACCAGGCGCAGCCGAGACCGCAGGTGGCACCAACTCCGAACCCAACACCTGTGGCCGACCCCAACGAAAGGAACCGCGAGCCCTGGCACGACCCCCTCCAGGACCCCCGGAGAACCAACAATTCAGTCATAGGGCAGCAAGTGGAGGAAGCCGCCTGAATCACTCAACCGCTGAGGCCTCAAAAAGCAAAAAACAAAACGGGGAAGACAAACGAAGAACCAGGGCCCAAGCGGATTCCAAGGATGAAGCAAGAACCTTCTGTCGACAAGTGAAACGCGCAGCAAAAAACTGCAGCAGTGCCTCCCGCAGGATCGGCGCAGACAGCTTCAACAGCGCAGACGACACGCGAACAGCCGAGACCAAGGCGCAAGACCCGGGAATGGACCCAAGCGCCTCTACATCCTCCACAAGCCAATCCGAAGACAGCTCCCAGAGGGAAAAGTAATGCAGGACTGCAGCCAAGAAGCCATGAGCATGATAGTCTTCAGCTACAAGTGCAACCAACAGGGTAGGAACCTACACGTGAAGCTGAACCGCGCCAATACCCCGCAAAAG